TGGGGGGGGGCTCGCGTCTTACCTCTTGCAGAGTCTTCCAGTTTTGGGAAAAGTCCTCCGGTGCCTTTGGAGGTCGCACGGCGACAACCGTGGGGTTGCTTCCCGGTTTTTCATTTACTTCGCGCGCTTTGTTTTTCCAGAATCGTTTCTTCCTTTTTTTCTTCTGTGGCGGCTTCTTGACAAGCCCTGGCTCAGGCACCGGGTCGCCCGGGGCGCGCTTGGGGGTCAGCGCCTTCACCATCCCGGCACTGTCCAGGGTCCCGAGGGCCTGACAGCAGAGGGCGGCGGCGGCCGGAGCCCCCACCCTCGCCGAGCCCGGCCCCTGTGCTCACCCAAGGCGCGTCGCACCACCTCCGGGCTCTGACAGCCGAGTTCAGTCCCAGGCCGGCGCCCCAACTCACCAGCGGGAGGAACACCTGCCTCCGCGGCCCTGAGAGCGACCCCGGAAGCGACCCACGTGCGTCCCGACACGTGCGCCTCAGTTCCCGGAAGTGCTCCTCACCCGGAACGGCTGGAAACCGGGCCCTCGCCTCTAGTTCCGGACACCCGGGAGCCAGGCCGGGCTCTTCGCCCGCACAGGGAAAGGGCCGCCACCCCAGCGGGCGGCGTCCAGGTTCCGCGACCTAGGGTTGCGGTAAACACGGGATCTCACCGAGATCCGGGATGGGGAAGAGAAACGCGGGCGCCGGAAGGGAACTGGGGGGCTGCTGTCGGTGTATCACCGCGGCTGGGCCGACAGAGCGCCGCGGAGCAGGTAGCCGCAAGGGGGCGCTGGGCGGCCAGGCCTGGGGGAGACGGGTGCGGAGCCCGGGCGGGTCACTCCCGCCCACCTGGGCTGTCCCCAGTTCAGCCTCCCTCCGCATCTTTCTTACGGAGTGGGGAAACTGAGGCCCGGGAGCGGAAAGTAGGACCCCAGGTCGCACAACCTGGTTTACCAGAGGCACGGGGCTGCAAAGGCACTTCAGTTATAGCAGATGATGTAAAGCACTGTAAAAATTTTTACATATTACTTGTATAAAAACAACAATAATAAATCACTAGCATTCCGAGCCTGGCCCTGACAATACCTTGATAAACAACACAGGTGGTGGTGGGCTGGCGGAGTGACACGGTGGTTAAGAGTTGGCTTGGGACGCCAGAGGGCCCCGGTTCGGATCCCACATATGAGAGCCAGTGACACTGCCCTCCACAGCTAAGATGCTGAACAACAGCTCAACCTGGAGNCCGCGCCCGCTCCTCCATTCCGCCCACTTGGTGTCCCCGTGAACCCGCCCGCGCCTTGTCGCAGCGCAGGACGGGCTCGCTGCGTGCGGGATCCGCCCGGGCCGTCCTCCCGGCCCGAGGGGCGCCCTCTCGAGGCGCACCCCGGCCTCTACTACGGTGCCGACGAGCAGTGCCGCGTCGCTTTTGGCCCTACCGCGGTCGCCTGCACCTTCGCCAGGGAGAACCTCGTGAGTCCCCGCGTTGGTGCTGCGCACCGGCCCCCCCGCCCCCCCGCGGCAGGCTCCCTCCGCCCACACTCAACGGCCCACACCGCCCAGCTCACGCCCCACCGTGCTCTGTGAGCACCCGCTGTGCCAGGCTCTCAGCTGCCTCTCAAAAGTCTTAATTTTTGAACAAGGGCCTCCACATTTTCGTTTTGTCTGGGTCCCACAAATTATGAAGAGCCAGCCCTGGCTTGGCTCCCGAGCCCGGACACGGATCCTGCAGAGGCAGTTACCAGGGGCTCCCAACCCAAGAGAAGCCGGAGGGCTTCCCGGAGGAAGTGACCTCTAAGCGGCACCCCTGCAGCCGGCGAGAGCTGGCAGAGGGAGGGGAGGTGAAGGGGGGCAGGCACCCCAAAGACAGACTTCCTCCCAGGACAGCACAGGGCGTTCATGGGCCCCTTCCTCCACACAAAATATTAAAAATTGTATCTTAGTGTTTTTATAGAACATAAACACTTTTATGTGTGATTATACATACAAATATATTAATATTATATACTAGAACGTTTTCTTTGACCTAAAAGTTTATTCTTTCCTTCTGATTTTAAAAGAAATGAAAACATTGTCATGGGCCCCTAATAGGGTTGTGGGCCCTGGTCGCTGTCCCTGTTCCCGATGGAGAAGTCAGCTATGCTCATCCTCCCTNTACAGACAGGACCAGACCCGGGTCAGCTGAGGCCTGTGAGAGGCGCGCACCTCTCTGGGGTGCCATGTCTCATTCAGAGGACAAGCTGATGCAAAGGACCGCAGTGGTCAACCACGATTGGCGTCTCCACAGATGTAGGAGTGAGCCTGGAGCCTGGGAGGAGGCCCTTCTCACTGGGGTGCCCAGGAAAGGGCTCTCGGAGGGGGAGGCCCTTGTGCTGCCTCATGGAGGTACGTGGGGGGGAGAGAGATGTTTCAGGCAGATGAAGAGAGATGAGAAAGGCCCGGGCGCTTCCGCTCTGAGAGAATCAGCTTTGAATGGAATGTTCTAGACTAATGACAATTATCCACATCCTGTTATTTCGGGGTTTCTTTTCTTCATGTTGATTGAGCTTTCTGAGCCATGAACAAGGGGAGAGCCAGAGCACAGCTATCTCTATGGCTGTCTCCCAGCACAAAGACTAACATTTTGGGTCTCCCCTCTCCCCACACCAATGCTGAGGGTGCATCCTCTCCAGGCCCTCTCCCCTGGTGGGGCTGGGGTGGGGTGGGGGGAACCCAAGATGTCAGCAGCTGCCGGGGGCCAGCTACGCCCACCCACATGTGTCGCTTTTCCCACCTGCCCTTCTACAGGGGTCAGAACTGCTGAGGCACCCATCCTTGGGGGCTCAGTTCCGAGTGCACCTGGTGAAGATGGTCATCCTGACGCAGCCCGAGGTAGGTGCTGAGCTGGAAGCCCAGAGTCCCTGAAAAACCCGTTTCTGTCCTGTTTAACCTCTTCCTGCTGTGGCCCAGAGCCTTGTGGGTGACAGCAGGGCTTCCACCAGCCGGACCCGGACGCAGATCCCAGCTCTGCCCTGCACTCGGCACTGCTGAGCCTGTCTCGTGTGTAACGTGGGAGAGTAACAGGGTTACTGTGAGGACAGGGGTGCCCGCAGCAGTCAGTGTGGGGCATTTATCAGGTCCCACACATGCAGGCTCTGTTCCCGATCCCCCAGGATGCTCCAAATATCACAGCCAACATCACCTCATCACTGCTGAGCGTCTGTGAGTGGAGCAGGATGGTCAACCCCCAGGACGACACGGATCCCGGCCACGCGGACCTCGTCCTCTACATCACCAGGTAGCCGAGCTCCCCGCTGGCGGGTCAGCCAGCCTGCCTGCCTGGGGCCGCTCTCTGCCCAGGTGGCTGGGCAGCGGGCAGGCATCTCAGCACCTCCCAGGTGTCTGTTCTCTCTTCCGAGGTTTGACCTGGAGTTGCCTGATGGTAACCGGCAGGTTCGGGGGGTCACCCAGCTGGGGGGCGCCTGCTCCTCCTCCTGGAGCTGCATCATCACTGAAGATACCGGCTTTGACCTGGGCGTCACCATCGCCCATGAGATTGGGCACAGGTATGGGGCCTGACCAGATGTCCCCAAGCTCAGACCAAGGAGCTGACCTGGGCCCCGAGGAGGGGAGATTGAGGCTGGCGGTGGGCCCTGGAAGACTGTGCCCTTGACCCCAGTGGACCAGGGAGGGTGCGGGGGGCAAGGGCTGGGCAATATGATACTTCTTGATTATAGGAAACTTTTTTCCCCCAAAATCAAGCAAAATAATCTTAGCAATTAGAAAATAAATTTTGTATGAAGTTCAGGTAAAGAAAGAGGCTGTAAAAATTATTCCAAATCCCACCACTTATAGATAACATCTGCTCACATTTTGTATGTAATTTTAGTATTTTGTTTACATACACACATTGTTTTTTATTAGCAAAATTGTGATTATACTATATATTGGTTTGTTCCCTGCAGTTTTTATGTAACTATAGATTTCTCCTAAACATTTCTCCCAGGTCTTTTCAAGTATTTCTTGTATGCACCACAATTTATTTATTGAGCCCCCTATTGTTGGATATTTGGGGTATTTCCAAACTTCTCCTGTTACAGCATCATGCCTCTTGTGGGCAAATCTTCACTCCTACCTGTTACCATTTACCTAAGGTGGCGGNGGCGTTTATCATGCGCGTCACTCAACAAGCCAGAGCCATTTATGTCATGCCGGGTGACACCCAAGCCTGGTTCCTCAGTTGGGAGGCCCAGCCTGGGCTGGGACGGATGCCACTCGAGGTCCATCTGGTGACCTGCAGGGTTGTTCATTAGCACAGTCCTAGCTGGTCCCTCGAGACCCCCTCTATTCCCGTGAACTTGGGACCCCACCAGGGTCTTTACTAGGCCCTGCGCGTGAGGGGGAGGACAGCGTGGGCAGTGAGTGCAGCCCCAGAAGGGCGTGGGCCCCGAGCAGCCCCTCAAAGATGGACTCTTGGGCCCTGGACTTCGGCAGGAGCCGTTGGAGGCTGCTCAGGGCAAGTCCAGGCCGGGAGCTGTCGTGGCCCAGAGTGGCCTCTCCCGCGAGGTGGGCTGCGTGCTCCAGGCGGCTCTCTCTTCTCCAGGAGGGTGACATCCTGGTGGGTGCAGACCGGCTCCACGTCCAGCCGGTGAGGAGGCAGCACTGGGAGTTGGTGCCTCACTGGGCTGGTGCCCAGCCCCACCTGCTCCACAGGCACGCCCCCACGGTCCCAGGGGTCTTCCAAGGTACAGCTCCTGGGAGAGGGAGAGCAGGGTCCCCCCGGCAGGAACAGCTCTGGGAGGGGGAACAGCTTTCCCCGCGGCTGGGAGGCTGTGAAAAATGCCCCAGCTCCCATGGAGTAGTCCTTTTCTTTAGAATGCAAGGGGTGCCCAGTTTATGGGGCAGCCCAGGGGAACATGTGGCCACCTGCCGCGCCCCCACCCCGTCCCCTTGGTGGGCAGGCAGACCTCCCGCCTATGAATAGCCCTTCACAGTTTACAAAGCACATTCACAGACATGCGCGGCCCTGGGGCTGGCAGGACAGCGGTTACTGACATTGCTCAGAGACCCAAAGACGGGAGCGGCTGCTGGTGGCTCTGGCGAGCCCAGGGTTGGCACCAGTGCTGCCTCCCAGGCCCACTCAGCGCCATCCAGGCTGCATCTGGGTACAAGCAGGGTGCTGTCTTGGGCTTGATTTGCCATCTTGGGGTGAGCCTGTTTTCCGGTGTGGGGCTTTGGGATGACTAGGACATAAAAGCCACACAATAGCTCCCTCTCGGGCCCCGTGCTGGCCCTTATCCCATGCCCTGAAATGTCCAGTCACTGACGGGATTTGGGCCTTTGGGGTGGGGGTGACATGAGGTGTCTTGAGAAGGCCATATCCCCAAGACCCAGCAGCACCTCCTGTTAGCTGACCAGCCACCATTGGTTCTGACAGTCATAACATAGTGACGTGTGAGAGCTTGGGACTTCTCAACCCTCTAAGCATGTTTACCCCTGAGTGGACAGGAGGCCCAAAGTGTCCCGAATCTGTTCATGGGTGTCTGGGGGAACAGAAACCTCGGGTGCTGAGAGGCCGGCTCTAGGAGGGCCGGTGGAGGGGCTGTGAGAGGAGGGCACAGGACAGGCCACTCATTTGGGTGTCACCGTGCTGGGAGGCAGGTATTCTCATGTCCCCCACATTCCCTATGAAAGCTGGGCATTGGGCCCACCGACTCCCTAAGCCCCAAAGCAATAAGTGGCAGAGACGGGGCTCCACCACTGTCTCCAAGCCCAGGAGTGGAGGGTGATAGAGGCCTGGCCACAGGGACGGCTGACCAGCCGGCTAAAGCCATGGGTCACCTGCTTTCCAGAACCTCTGCTCTCAGCCCTGCCTCCTCCCTCGCCAGGCCGTCCGTCTGCTCGCCTCCGGAGACACGCTGCCGAGGGCAGCGTCCTGCACCTGGAGCTGCTGGTGGCCGTGGGCCCTGATGTCCACCAGGTTCACGAGGAGGACACAGAGCGTTACGTGCTCACCAACCTCAACATGGTGAGTGCTCCTCGGGGCCACAGGGAGTGGGGTGTCCTCGGGGGGCCTCTGACACAGCGGCCCACACATGGGGCTCGTGGCTTGTGGTGAGTGTCAGTGGGCTGGCTTATCTGGTAGTTTGAACTCAGCCCCAACCTGAGGCTAGGGTCACGCTTGGGGCTCAGGGCCCTGGGGTGGGGAGGGGTGGTCTGTTCTTGCCTCTCTCCTCCTCCTCTCTCACCTGGAGTGNGGGGGTAGTTCAGAGCGGCAGTGGCTTTTCAAAGACTCAAGCCAGATTGCATCACTCCCCAGCTTTAAAACAATCCATGGCTTTCCGTTGCACTTCCTGCAGACTTGAGGCTCTATAATCCATGATTGGTGCCCGCCCACCCCTCTGCCTGTATCTCCAACACTCCCCCTCGCTCTCACAGCCTCAGCTACACCAGACTACCTTACGCTCCTCAAATACATCAAAGGCTTCGCTGGTCCCTCTGACCCTTGGTCTTCACGCTGCATGGACACTTGCCACCAGTCACGTGCTGGTGCTGTCTTCGCCATGTCTCAGTTGAACACACTGAGGAACAAATTCAAGTTTCAGTTCAAATGTTACCTCCCCAAAGAAGCCTCAGAACCCCATCTAAGGTTAAGAGCCCCATCTAATCTTACCTCCAGGTAAGATTGCCATATTTAGAAAATAAAACTCAGGACACCCAGTTAAATCTGAACTCCAGATGAACAACAAATACATATATTCAGTATAAGTATGCCCCAAATATTGCAACCATTGCATGAGATGTATTTACACCAAAAAGTATTCTTTATCTGAAATTCCTATTTGTCTGGGCCTCTTCATTTTGTTTGGTAAACTTATTCATGTCAATCTCTACCACAACATCCTGTTTTATCATCTTCATTGTAGTTGCTATTATCCAAAATTATCTTGATTTATTATCTGTATTTCCCTGAACTACCCCCCCCCACACACACACACATACGCAGACTCAAATGGAAGCTTTAGGGAAGTCGGGGCTTCACCTGTGTTTTGTTTTGTTGTTGTTTTTTAAAGATTTTTATTGGGGAATTGGGGGAAGGGGAACAGACAAGTTGCTGTCGTTTTGTTCTTCAGTCCAGTTGTGGAGGATGTTGCTTCACTGGCCCAAGTTGGCACCATCATTGCGCTCTTCCCGGGCGAGGCAGATCAGTTGCCGGCTTCTGGATGGCTGCTCACGGTGGCTGCTGGCCGCTCACGCTGGCTGCTGGCCGCTCACGCTGGCTGCTGGCTACACACGGTAGCCCATGGCATCCCACTGCAGCAGGGGCTGCAGCCTACGCCGTCACCGGCGACTCACAGCAGCCCAGCTCCAGGTCGAGCAATTGTTCAGCATCTTAGCTGTAGAGGGCAGTGTCACTGGCCCTCATATGTGGGATCCAAACTGGGGCCCTCTGGCATCCCAAGCCAGTTCTTAACCCCAGGGTGCAGGGCCAGGTGGGGAGCTCTGAACCAAGACCCAGCCCAGAGCAAGTCCAAGGTTGCAGCAGGAGCCTGCTGGCCACCCCCACCCCCACCCCTGTTATGGGAGGGAGCTCCCAAAAGTAAACAGCCTGATGGCCCCGCCCAGCGGGGTTTGTCACATTTCACACTGACCCCATTTCCAGTCACGGGTGGCTCTCCCTGGGCCAGCTGGCTTTCTCGAGGATGCATGAGCTTCACCCCTGGGGAATTCTCACTTCTGCGTTCCTCCTCCTGGGCAGCTGGGGACTCCCTGATGTCCAGCAGGTGAGTGAATCTGGAGCCCTGGGGCTGGGGATCTGAGCTCTTCTGGGTGCTGAAGCGGGTATCGGGGAGAGAGGGCGCTGCCAAACAGCCCTTGGGCAGAGTGGGGGTGTTCTTTTGGCTTCGGGGTTGGCGCTGGGTGGAGGAATCTGAGCGTAGGGTTTCAGAGAACGAGATGTGCTCACTGAAGGAGCTGCGGCAACACTGTCCGCTCGCCTGATCGAAGGGCGGACACCAGCTAAACCCCTGTGAGCGCTGGTCCAGCCCTCCATCCTCACCGGCCTATTTCCCCTCCCCCACCGTGCCCCGCCCCCTTCCCACCTCCCTTCTGCCTCTCCTCTCCTCACTTGTCCTCTGTCTCCCACAGCGATTTCTTCAGGCTTTGGAGCCCAAGGAAGTGATTTCCTACTTTGGTCCTGATGCTATCTCGGAAGGTACTTGTCCTTGTGTCTTCCTGGCAAGGAGGGTTTCTCAGAGCCTGCGGGATAGCTCACCGTTGAGCCGGGGGTCTGGGATTTTTGGTTGCTCTGCTGGGAGGAGGTCAGGACAGACGTCACCCCTGCTAATTAACTCCGTTACTTCCTGCGAAGCTGATAAAACTGGCCTGGGTGTTCTGGTCTGAGCTGGGTTCTGACCCCGGGATTCTGCTCAGTATCTCAAGGGAATGGTCACTGACTGGCTGGCCTGTCCCTCCTGCCACTGGGCCTCCCTTGGGATGACTGATTGTCAGGAATTCTTGTGGTTTCTGGCCATGCCTGTAAATATTTATCTCTTCTGTGAGAAGCAAGATAGGGGCCGAGTCCAGCCCCAGCCAAAACCTTTCCTTGTTGCTCAAGGATAGTGTCTTTGGCCTTCTCCGGGGTGCCCACCCCCTTTCCAAGTAGGGCCACTAGTGACTTTGATCAAAAGGCTGGTGAGGACCAGAGGCAGGGTGGGCTAGTGGTTGGGGGGACAGAACTAGCAGTGTCCCACTTATAACTGACTTCTCTGTGGTCTGGGTCGGACGCACACTGACCAATGCCTGGGGCCGTGCAGAGATGGGGGGTCCTGCTGGAGGACTGGGCTGGGGGGAAGGGCAAGCTGAGGGCCCACTGGGGCTGACTGTGGGGTGCAGTGGCTGAGAACTTGTGAATCTTACCCCAGGTTCCTTCAGCTCTGCCCCTCCTGGGGGGATAGGAGACCATTCCCTGGGGTCCCTGAGCCCTCTGGGGGGTATCTTGGAGTGAGAGAGATGGGTGGGAAAGGACGGTGAGGCCGCCTTTGGGTTCCCGCTTTCCACGAAGGCCACAGAATCCTCTTTGTACCCTCTTTGCCTGTCGGGGTTTGTGACTTCACTCATGAAACACGTGGTCCAAGGCGAGACTAGTGGGCCGAGCGCTGCCACCCCCAGGCGAGGCCCTGGTTGGAGAGGCAACTTTCTGTCTGCCACCCGGCGAGCTGGGAGGAGCTGGACTTGAACCCAGGATCCTGGGCCCCAGGGTGG